GCTTTGTCAGAGATCGCTCCAACCCCGGCCGGATGCGGCAGACCTGACGCCCCCCAATCCTGCACATCATCCAACTCTGCCGTCTATGGAGGGCCTTCAGGCGTGTGCGGCAGGTGGGGCGAGATGTAGTGTGTCTCCTCACCTCCCAGTCCATCGACTCGCGGGCCTGGGTGGCGTTCATGCAGCGCGTCAGGAGCATCACCGCCGCGATCAGGATGGACCCTGGCCACAGGTGCAGGATCTCCTTGCCGCTAGCGCCCTCCACGATCTGGGGTCCAGGGTTTAAAAGTGAGGCATCTGGTGAGTTCGAGGTCAACTGGCTGTGTGGGGCCTCGCGTGCCGGAATTCCGCGAATCGCAAGGTATTGGAGATGTTTCAGACTGTCATAGCTAGACTGGCTCAAGCGACCCAGCTCAGGTGCACACAGCAGTGGGTGCGGACGCCGTCTTGTGCACACCCACGCAAGGTCCAGCAGGCAAGGGCGAGAGCGGCGATCAAGCAGGTTTCTAACCTGGGTGGCAACCAGGGCAACGACGAGGGCGAGGGCGAGCCACATACGGTTCTTCTTGACCGGGGCAGAGTTGGGCACCTGTTGTAGGGTGGGTGGGTGGCGAGTGCGCGACGCGGGGAGGTGAGGGAGGCAGCAGCGCGGGTGCGGTGCGAGGCGCGCGTCTCAAGTCGCTAACAGCTGCACTGCGGCAGTGGCAGTGGGAAGTGCTGGGCCAGGCCGGTTTTTGACACTCATGCGACGCAAAGGCAATTGGGAGCACCTCCTGGCAGTCAGTCGGGAGCGATGACTTCCTGACTGAGCAACACAAGAAGCCACAAGCGCGCCGGGGAGGCAGCCGGCGGCACTCACGGTGCTGATCAGGGCAAAGGCGGGGCTGTGGGCGAAGATCTTGGCAAACTCGGGCCCAGTCTCCAGCAGAAGCACGTCGCCAGCCTGGTTAGGCGTTTGGGTATGAAAGGATGGACGAGGTCGGGGCACGCACACAGGGTGGGGCCTGCATGGCGGGCTGCTGCAACAGGGCCGCGCCATGCTGGCTTGCAGCTTCGAAAAGGTTTGTGTTTGACCAGCAAGGGGTACACAGCTGTCAGCTCGCAGGTAGATGGCAGCTTTCCCTCCCGGTCAGAGCCGCAGCACAGGCAGGTGGGTGCGTACAGTGGCTGGGTCCCCCTGTTCTTCAGACCCAGTAGCCCACCTGCAGCTTGATAGCAGCAACATCGCCGGTGACCGCGGTGCCGGAGCGGTGGACAGACAGGAGGGCGGCGCCGAAGTTGTGGCGGAACCTGACGTCGCGGGCGGTCTGCGCGAGGAGACAAGGGGGGAAGGGGGGGCCCATCAGTGCTTGTTGTGCTGCGGGCCGGGTGGCATGGAGGGTGCTGCGCCAGGCATCCAGACGGGTCACCGCGTCCTGTTCAATTCGACGCGTACTGGGGCCGGATTGCACGACCACAGGGGTCGAAAGCCGACGGCCCGCACGCGTGCCTGAGGGCGTGCAGGGACGCATCCGAACGGATCAGCGTGCGGTGGGGTGGTGGGGTGTGCGCGGGGGCGGGTGTCACACCTTGTGCACAAGGGGGGAGTGGGGGGACACCACAGCCTGGACCAGAGCACGGTCGACCTGGGGGATGTGGAACAAGCGAGGGGAGGGGGGCATGCAGGAGGTGAAGGTAGGTGGAGAGGGCGAGGGGCATCCAGCGCTGCACACGCGCGGCCCACAAGGGGCCAACAGGGAAAATGAGGACGATTCTGAGGGAGGCCGCGCCACGGCCGCGGTGGGCATGCAGGTGGTGCACCGGCCGCAGCAGCACGCACCCTGGCACCCCTCACCAGCCCTACCCCCTGGGTCACTCCGGCGGGCGTGGCTGGGCACCGCGTAATCACCTGGTGAGACTCAAGCTTGGTAACCTGCTCCTCCTGCTGATGGGCTAGGCCATCGAACTTGAGCAGGAATGACACACTCGCCAGGTCACCTGGGGGAGTGGCAGGGGTTGGGCGGCCACTGTGTGGTTGGCGATGTGCGTCGCAATGGGTGCAGGAGCAGTCAGGTGAAACAATACAGCGGGTGTCAGCGAGGCAGTCAGGATGGCTGCTTTGGGCGGCTGCGGGAAGGCACCCCTGAGAGGGACCCCGTCGCGCCACCGAGCGATCGCGGCCGCCGCCACCGGTCAACCAGCCGATCAGACCGAACACCCCCCCCCCCCCGCTCACCGGCGAAGAGCAGAAGATCACCCTCCTCCAGGACAGTGTCGGGGCTGACAGCGCGCAGGATCTCGCCGCCTGAGCGGTGCACCTGTTGTTGCGATGGAGGTCGTCGGCGCACGGGCGGATGGCGGCCGTGAGGCAAACGCGGGTGTGCGGCAAGGAGCTCCTGGGGGTGCACGCACACTCTGTCCTTGCAAACAGGTGAGAAATGCTGGCGCAATTTTCAGCTGCGGGGCTCGCGAGTGACCTCCGCCTTTGCTACAGGGTGCACCGCCACGTTGCAACAGTGCGCCACTTCCCCTAGGACCCGGACTGCCGGCCCCCGCACAACAGAACCAACGTTGGCGATTCGCGCGGCAACCCAATCCTGGGATTGTTTCGGATCTCAGGCAAGCGTCACCCGTCGCACCTCGAATAGGAACAGGCCGGTGACGCCGCGGAGGCCGGCCTGGTTAATGGTCTTGCCAGCCACAGGTGACCCCGTGACGCGCATCACGGTGGTGAACTCGCGCTGCACGGCAGAGTCCAGGTGCTTGAGCCTGGGGCCAATTGGGAGGGACGGCAGCGGGCACGTGGTTGAGGCACGGCTGAGCCTGGGGTTTCGGTTTTTGCCCTGTGGCTTTGGGAATGGCCTGGGCGGTGCGTCTGACCAGGTGCACGCTGCATAGGCTGCGGGCGGGAGCCGGCACACGCGTCGTCCCAGACCATTACAGCCAGGCAGCACGCCAGGACCGAGCAAGGCGACAGTCAGCGGGGCGTAGGGATTGCGGCAATCTCACTTCTTGAAGTTTGCGGTGAAGTCGTCCTTCTTCGCGTCGAAGTTCTCGCCGGCGGAGAGCACCAGGATGTCGCCCTTCTGCAGGACGACGTCGCCGAGGCGGCCTCCCTGCTTGACGTTGTTGCGCTTGACGGCGATGACGGCGGCATCGAAGCGGCCGCGGAAGCCAGTCTCGCGGACGGTCTTGCCGATGATGTCAGCCTTCGGGGCCACAGTCACCTGCACGATTGATTGATCAAACGTGAGTAACAGGGAGTGATGACAGATATGTGTATCTAGTGCGGTGGGCACTGAGACGCGAGTGATCGGATGGCCCTCGCGGCAGAGGGGTCGCGGGTGCGCGTCAAAGGCCGCGAGTGGCAGGAACGGCTGGGCTTCTACAGCTGCCTGGTTGGGTGGCGGCGGGGTGTTGCGACGATGACCTCGCCTTGCCAACCCTGGGGGCACCCGTGTGCATTTCGCCGGCCCCGCCCGCGTCGTGCTGCTGCCGCACCTGCACCAGAGTGGAGGCCTCATCACCAGAGGCAATGGACCCCCCCTCATCGCCGGCGCCGGCGCCCTCGAAGAGCAGCACCTGGAGGCCGTTCTGGTTGGCAAACGTGGAGTTGTCCTGGGCAGAGCCTGCGCACGGGTGCCAGGATGACAGGGTTTGCGCGGGCAGCTGGATGTCATTGTTTGAACACTTTCTAGGAGGGCTGAATGGAGTGCTGCAACGTTTAATCAACTTAATGGAGGCTAGCGATAGCACAAGTGGCACTTGTGGGCCAGAAAGCCAATGGGCCTCAGGTTCAACTGCGGTCAACAAGGGGTGCAGCGAAGCGGCGCACCCTGCACAACGATGACATCACCGGCGTAGACCACAGTGTCTGGCAGGGGGGGCGCGATGACAGAGCCCTTGGCGGTGCGAACTGCGATGATGTGGGAGGTTCCGACCTTGTCCAGGAGGCCGGAGGCATCCAGGGTGGAGCTGGCAACCTTGCCAGACCTGGCGGTGGAGGGTGGGCGATAAGGTTGGGCGATCTTTTGTTTGGTTTTTGGCCGCGTGACACGAGCCAAGAGAGAGAGCAGCAGAACGGCATGCAGGCCTGCAAGCCAAGGGCGTAAATGAGACCACCGCTGTAGCAGCGAAACGAGAGTGGCGGCGAGGCCGGGCTCCAACCGCTTGCTGCTGCATGAATCGCAGGTCACATCCACGCCGAAATACCCACTTCCCACACCCTGCAATGTGTGCAACTTTGCGGCGTGAATTCAGACTCACTTGTCGGTCACCAGGAGCTCGGAGGTCAGGTCGGTGTGGCCCGAGCCCTCGTGGCCGGGCAGCAGGAAGGAGAACAGCACGATGTAGGCAAAGCCCCAGATAGCGTACGGCACACCGTAGGGCTGATCCAAGGCGGAAGGTGAACAGGCATGAAGCCGTCAGTCACGCGGCGAGGAGATGCAGGGCTCATCTGTCCAGAACACAAAACGGGCGCCTTCCGCCCAGCGGGTGGGCAAGAGGCGGCCCGGTTTGCCGCACATTGATCAGTTGTTTGTAGTGCTGTCGGTCAGAGGCTGCCCGGTCAGTGCAATAGTGTGCACTCACAGTGATGGTGAAAAATTGGAAGACAGGGATGGTGGGATCCTTCTTCGCCATCTCCTGCTGCAGGCCTGCAGTGCACGAGTGATGTGCGAAACAGTGTGACGCATGGCACCTGGCCGCCGGGCGCTGTCCCCCTACGCGGCGACCCCGGACTGAGCAAGCGCACAACGACAGCAGCCACAGCGGCGGCGCAGCGACGCAGGCGCTGGGGCCGCACCGGAGACAACGAGGTTGGTGCTGGTGCCGATGAGCGTGCAGGTGCCGCCCAGCACTGTCGCAAAGGACAGGGGGATCAGCAGCTTCTTGGCCGGCACGTTGCACCTGCGGGAGTTGAGTCGTTGGGGTGAATGTGATCATTCCAAACATCCCCGCAAACGTGTGATCCAGAGCATGGCCTTGCCGGCAGCCAGGCGCGAGTGCAGCAGCACGGCGCGGGCAAGGGCGCGGGTGCTGGCGGCGGGAAGGGGGGTCGCAGGGGTGCCCCAGGGGCGGAGAGGGCAAGATGGACTGTCCCTACCTCCGGGACCACGAGAGCAGGATGGGGATGAGCAAGGCCACGATGGGCGTGTTGTTGAGGAAGGCAGAGGCCTGCGGTAGGTTGGGATAGGGGCAGGCGTGTGGGGCTGCACCCGTGCAGAGGGGGGCCCGCATCCAAGAGGCCGTTTGCCGGGGTTTTGACCCGGCCGCCGCGTGAAGGCGCCGCGCCACTGTGGGGAGCGTATGTCCAAGCCCGGCAGCTGTACGTTCGTCACCGCAGCAGGGCGCGCGGGCGCTCAGGTGGCGTGCCGCCTGTCCTTGCGATTACTCGCGAATGGACAGCGCGCTTGCATAGCGCGCTTGGTCACCGCGGCTCGCAATTACTCGCGGTTGCGGTGACTCACGATCATGACGGGAAGCATCATGCGCGTCTGGGCCCAGAAGACGGACGAGGCGCTGCCTAGGACCTTGTTCAGCAGAATGTCGAGACCTGCGTTGGGCCCGGGGGAGGGTTGCCGTTCTTAGGCCTGCATCGGTGCGTTGAGGGCTTTGGAGGCAGCATTCAGGCGTCTGTACGGTTTAGGTGCTCGCTATTAGGTGGAGGCAACCGCCTTCGCGGAAGGGGGCACGAGAGGCCAAGTGAGTCCAGTGCTGTGCCTCCGCGTCAACACTCTGCGCCTCCCGAAACCGCGATGACCGAGCCGAAATTTTGCTACGGGATGGCAGCGAGGCTGGGGCGCAGCACAGCCCGCGCCGGGGCGCATCGACGACAGCAGTGCAGGCTTCAGTGCCCAGGCTTAGCCCCTCGTTGTAATCCAAACACGTACCTCCTGTTTGAGATACTCCTTCTGCTACGATGAACAATGCCATGACCGTGAGCACACCCTGACAGCATGCCGCAGTAAAGGGCACGCGTCGGCGGGGGGCGGGCACAGCCGAACGGCGCGACACGGGGCGCAACACAGGGGCTGCCAGCGGTGTGGTGGGGCACGAGACCGCACGGAGTCTCTACAGGGGTTGAATGCACTGTAAGCAAAGGCTCCCCTATGGCCTTCCTATCATGTGTCCCAGCCAGTCGCCCTAGTCTGGCCTCCAGACCCACTCACCGTGTTGGAGAAGCCTGCCGCTCCCTCCCTCACCGACAAGATGCCTGAAGATCGGAGAGAAAGCACAGACTTGGCACGTCAAGGGGTTTGCGTCATAGCCAGCCGTCCGAGCAGGCGCTGGCATTCAGATTCCTTTGAATCACTGGGCGCGCACGCTGGCCCGCAACTGATGACCCATGTGCGTGCATACCAAGCTTGTACGCGCCAAGGTCGGGTGTTTCTTACCTGCAACCATGTAGATTGCGGTGACACCTCCAAACACCAGGTCTGGGCCGACGGCGTCAAGGCCCATGACAATGAGCGCAAAGAACAGGGTGATGATGACCACGATGCCCTGGGATGGTGTGAGGCCATGCCCGTGTGTGTGAGTGAGAGAGTGTGTGTGTGTGCATTATGGGGGGGTTGTGTGTGTGCATCCCAGGTTGTCAGGCTGTGATTGGCTGCTTGTGTTTTGCTGACGTGCTGTGCTGTGGTGCTGTGATGCTGCAGGCGTGGCAGCAGTGCCACGGTTGTTTTGGTGGGAGGGGTTTGGCATCTGCCATCGTCCAGAGGGCTGCAGTTTCAAGGGCTGCGGACCAAGGTGAGGGCCTGAAAGATGCAGGGGCGGCCGTCAGGCTGGTGATATTGGTTGGCAGGCCCCGCGCCGGCGGGGCGGGGCAGCCAATGACAGCAAGCCACGGCCGCCCACCTTCCAGTCAATGACAACGTTCTCGATTCCGCCCTTGGCGGCGGCCTTGACAGTCGCATTGGCCGTCGCATTCACGGTCGCGTTCACCAGCGCCACGGTGGCGTTGAGGGTGGCATTGAGAGCCGACATCTTAGGAAGTGCCTGCCTGGATGGGGGCTGGAGAGCAGGAGGGGCGGGGGCGCGTACAGGGCGGCACGCGGGTGACGTAGTGTCAAGGGCTGCCCTGGCAGTCTGGGCTCGTGCCAGAGAGCAGTATAGCATTGTGACCAGCCAGCTCTGGCGTTTCAGGTGCATCCAGGTGCGTCAAGGGTTTGCTAGCCCTGGCGGGGCAACCAGTGTTGCCGCATGTGACGGCGCCGCAAGCGCAAATGGCGGAGAGCGGCGCTGTACAACATCGCATGGTGCACTGCCGCAAGTCGAAGAGAGCACCGCTGCGTGCGCATTAATCTGTACAGTACTCGTTGCAGCCGCGGACACGGCCTAGGCGGCGCAGTGGTCCGAAAAACATGTAGCCTCACCGCGGCTTTTCCTAGATCCTTGGACCAGCCCGGTCAGCTGATGAATTGGCTGCACGCGCTTGGTGTATGCCGTATCAGACCTCGGGTGAGGTCGAGGCTGTCCTGCTGGGGTGTCACTGACGACACCTGCTTGCAGCTATGCAACGACAAACACTTGTGTGTAGGTCGAGCAGGAAGGAGCCGCAATAAAACATTTGATACATCGCGGCGCAACTAAGTTTTGCGGCTTGGGGTGTCACTCACATGGCCAGAGACCCTTACCTCACGCTTGGTACAGGTGACCGTGGCGCCCAAGACTGGTGCGTGTGAGCTGATCCTCAAGATACACTTCTCACCTTTTTAATATTGAACACAATTTGATACCGGATGTCGGGTAGCCTGCGTCGCGAAAGCCCTGGCGATGCAGCCTCACATCACTGCATTGCCAGCCCCTGCAGCCTCCTCTGTGGCAGAGTTCACCCATCGGTGGCCCAGGGGAGCGCCGCCGCACGTGTCCATCCCAACTCTGACCAGCTGAAAGGGCCCAAAAAATTCATCCCAGGCATGGATGCGCCGTTATCGGCGCAATATGATGGCCTGACCTGGGGGTTTCGAGGGAGGGCAGGTGGGGCGGCTTTCATGACACCACCCATCCGCGCATCTGGGCAAGATGGGAATTGTGGTCAGTGCAAGCGGACATGAAATTTGAGGACTACATCTGCTGATTAATTCGGACCTCACGCCGCTGGCCTGCAACTAGCCCCAACGTCGCCCCCCCCCCTGCCCTGAGACGGTTCTGGGGTCACCCCCCGCTGCCGCAGCGTCCAACGGTGGTTAGTCAGGCGAGCAAAAACCTTTCAATCTGGGCCTACGTAGCCCCTCTTGACTTGACAATTGTTGGCCCTCCAGAGAGCATGCTACAAACGCCGCTGCATACACTGCTGTGAATGCTGCTGCTTCAGTGCGTCCCAAGGCTTCATGCAACCTGCCAACCTCCGTCAGCCGTGAGACCCCGCTAGTACAGAGCGCTGCCTCAATCCGGGCTGCGCGTTCGAGCACATTGTTTGGTGGTATCTCGCGCTGGAAGAACCTGCCATGCTGTACGCTTCCTGAAGATTCATGGGGGGTGCCTTGGTGCCGCAACGCATGTTTGAGCCGGAGTGCAACGCCAAAGCCGCCTTGCAGGCAGCGGTGGTGCTGGCAAGCGGTTGTTACACGCCGCGGGGGTGACACGGAAGGTTCTTGTAGGGGGGCTGAGGCGCCAAAACCCAGGAAATACAAGTGGCAAAATGAGGCACAGGTGGTCTTGAGAGCGGGCAAGGGCATGCGCATGGCAACACCGCATCCACAACCCGTTGCTGTCCGCGCCTGCATGCGTAATTTTGCATGCAATCATGAGTTAGTGCGGATGCATGCGGGCACTCCATCCACTCAATACGCCGTCGCGTGTGACGCAAGCGCTCGCACGCCGCGACGAAGCGGCGCCGCAAGAAGGCGCACCACGGCAAGCAGCAACGACCCCCACGGGGCTCGACGGCATGTGCGGCCCTCGCCGAGGGCGCCGCGCGGCTGGCACAGCGAGCGGCGCACACATTGTGAAGGAACCTAGGGGCGCCGCCCTGCCCGGTCTCATGTGCCTGGCGGCAACGGCATTGGCGTCCGCACCCCTTGGGCTGCTTGCCTCCGCGCACAACGCTCGTTGCCGTGTCTGGTGCTGACAATTAGGAAGGGACATCCACAGAGCCGGTGGCGAGATGATGAACCCATGTCGCGGAGAGCGAGCATGGGCCCAAGGAACGGATGGCTCTGCTTCACTGCTGCCCCGGGCGGCGGGGCCCATGGGGCGGCGCCGTGCGTGCCAAATGGGCGACTCCCAACGTGCATGCGTGGTCTCCCGACAGTCTGCGCAGTAATGCCTGGGTGGGTGCCGCCGCTCGCAGCTGGGTCGTGAATGGCGCGCCCGTTCCGAGCGTGGCCGCGGCGTGTGCGTAATGATTGTGTTTCAATGTGGGCAGTGCGGCCGCGGCTCGGCAGGAATGCGGGTGAGTATATGCTGGATGCGCAGGCCCGGCGGCCCATACCGGACGTTCGGGGTGAGGGCTGCTCCCAATACCAAGCCAGAAAACAATGAAATTCAGTGGAAACGGCGCACAGGCCCTGGCGCCGCACGAGCAGGCAAGCGCGCGGGTGTGTTGCATGCAGCGAGGTGGGAGGACGGACGCCCGTGGGGACGCAAGGCGGGTGTATGCCGAGTGGGTGTGCAGGGCGGTGCCCTAGGGGGGGGGGAGCCGCCAGAGGGCGCGTGAACCACGGCGGTGTTTGTGGAGGAAAAGCAACACAGTCCCAGATCTTGGAATGTGGCAAGCAGTGCGAAGGTTGCTTTCGCTCCAGCCTCGCGCCAAAGAGCTCCAAAGGGAGCGCTGCCCAAGTACTTCTAAACCTTGGCCCCAGAGTTCGAACCCAGACTTGATTGGCGGCGGCGCGCGTGCGCGCGCGCGGGACACGGCAGCGCCCTTGCTAGGCGCGCGAAGCGGATATCTGTGGGATGCAGAACAAGAATCTTTGGGGACGGCCGGGGTCGTCTCTGGGGGCATGCACCTTGGTTGCTCAACCGAGATGCGTCAGTCGCTGGAATGGTGGAATAAGGGATTGCTGCAGCCCCTGCTCGCGGTTGCATACGTGAGTCACCCGACTGGGCGCGGCGGCTAGCAGTCATGCGCACCCGGCGAAACGCACCCGTTGCTTGATGCTGATGCGTGTGTGCTGTTCGTGAATGTGCAGAAACTGAGTCACCGCCAAACGTTCGAAGCCATACTTGCGGTGCGCGGCCAGCCACCGCCCCGCCCGCGACCGTGCAAAGCGAAAGGCGGCGTCTGGCTGGGCAGGCGCTCCACGGCAGCCGCGCGTCAGGGTGCGCCCCGGCGGCGCGGCAGCGGCAGGGTGACGAAAGTAACAAGGGACGGGAACCCTAGGGTGGGGCCTGCGGGCTCTTCCATGGGGATGCCTCCGGGATGACTCAAAACTCTGCATAGTATGTTGAAAATGGGGGCTCACAAACCGCGCTTGCCCACAGGCCGTCTCGCGCCTGCGCCGCCCCGGCAGAGCCGCTCCGTCGCGCCGCCGCGCGGGCGCCGCGGCCCCCATTAGCGCCGGCGCAGGCCACATACGTAGCAGGCAGGGCCATACGCATGCTCGCACGCGAACAGCGCAGCGCCGGCGTGCACGCGGGGAAGAGAGAAACAAACGAACCAACAAAGTAGGTGCCGCGCGCGAGAGTAAGGGGGGATGATCGGTCACGTGCAGCGCGCGCATGGTCAGCCGATCGCAACGTGACCTGAAATCGAGAGCAGGCGCAAAGCATCACCAGGCCAGCAGCCGGCAGCGCCAACGCGCCCAAGGCCAGATCAATGCGTGCGATTTGCTGAGATCACAGTCCGTGATCTGAGATCTGACCGCGCAACACGTCAAAGCCCGCCCTCGACTTCTGGCAGCAGCAGGCCGAGCGCAACGAATAGTGAGTCATCATCGCCGCTCAGCAGCGACCCGGGCGCGGCCTCAAGGGGAGGCGCCGCCGCGGGGCTGCTGCTGCCCGTGTCGCAGCCAGCAAAGCCGCTCGGGAGAATGAAATGGTGGGCCAGGCCGTCGGGCAGCTGCACCCACAGCGGGTTCTGCAGCGGCGGCTGCAGCGCGGGCGCGCCGCCGCTGACGCCCCCCAATAGCAGCGCCCCGGGCTTGGCCGTGGCGGCGCCGGCCTGAGGTTGCGGGGCCGGCTGTGAAATGGGGCCCGAGGAGTTGAGGCTGGGTGTGCTGCCATGATTACTAAGCTCGGAGAGCTGCCGCTGCAGCCCCACCGGCGCCGCCCCGCCGCCGCCCGCATGGGAGGCGGCGGCGGCGGCGGCGCGCCGCATGGCGGCGGCCGCGGCAGCGGCGGCGGCGGTGACGACGGCGGCGGCGGGGGCGGCAGCGCCGCAGATCGCGCCAAGGCGCGGCACCATGTCGCAGATCTCGCTCAGCGCATTAGTAAGCCCGATGACGTCTGCGGCAGTTGGCGGTTGGCAGTTGGCGACCGGCGACCAGCGTTCAATGTCAGACGCGGACGCTTGCGAATCCAACTTGAGAAATTCGACTGGCGAATCCGCCCGGCGCGATCAGTCCGAGTCGCGTCTGATTCAACCGCGTCCGCGCGCGCGGGTGGTGCAGGTGGCCGGCCCGCACCTGCTGCGTTGGGGTGGCGCGCCATGACGACCGCCGCCTGCTCGGCTGCCAGCGTCCCGGTCAGCACGGCCAGCGTGAAGCTGCTGACCAGCTGCCCCTCGTGCGCGATGCTCTCCTGCGTCATGTGACGAGTGTCGAGAAGGGCGGCGGGCGTGTCGTGTGCGAGCGCTCCCGGCCCGAAAAACATCGCTGTTGTGAGCGTTCGCCGCATCAGTCGAACCGTCGCACGCGGCACTCTGCCCAAGCGCGCGTTTGGCGGCGCGGCCGGCGGCGCGCAGGGGTCGCACTGCAGCTTGCCAAGTACAAAAACCAAATTGCGCAGCCTGGAGGGCCCATTGCCGGTGCGCAGCCTGGAGGGCCCATTGCCCGTGCCCGAGAGCAGGGGTGGTGTGTGGGGTGCACACGCAGCACCTCAGCCGGCATTCAGATGGTTTCGTTCAACCCTACACCTTCCAAGGTGACAACAGGCCTGTCGCCACGGGCAACATGCAATGAACCCCCCCGCCCTTTCACCTGCAACCTCTCCAGCACGCCTCGCGCCGCAAGCGACTCCCGGGCGACGGCGCCCACATACCCCAGGGCCTGCAGCCGCGCCGCCGCCGCCGCCGCGCCGCCGCCCGGCGCTTCCCGGGGCCCGTAGCCACACGCCGGGCGCGGCGGCGCGGCGGCAGCGGCCGCGGCGGCGGTAGCATCCGGGCCCAGCAGCAGCTCGGCCGCGAGGGCGTGGCGGGCATCAAGGCACGCGGCAAGGGAGGACACCAGGTCATGCCTCAGGCGCAGGAGATCTTGGATCTGGTCATCGGACAGAGAGATCTCCGCAAGGATCTGGGAGTTGAAGGGACAAGGACGGGGGGGGGGTGTCAGCGGAAAGGCTGCAAGGGGAGAGGGCCGCAAGCAGCTGGAGGCCGAGCCGGCCCTAACTGCCGGCAACTGGCGTGTGGCGCCAGTTAGCGGCGGCGCGTGCGCGTTCGCGAGCCGCCCGAACCCCACCTCAAGCCACCGCTGCTTCTCTCCTATGCTCCCAGGCGCCGGCGCCGCGCCGCAGGCGCCGGCGCCGCAACTGGCTGCGGCGCCGACGCCGGCGCCCGCGGCAGCTTGCAGGCAGCCGCCGCCACAGGACACGTCCACCGCGGCGGCGCAGCCGGCGGCGGCGGCGCGCACGGCGCTGCGCAGGCGAGCGGCGAGCGGCGCGTCCAGCGCACGGCCTGCGGTGCGAGATAGACCAAGGGGCGCGAGCAAAGGCGCTTCTAACAAACATGATGGCGGCCAATTGAGTGCAACGCGCCAGGCAGCACGGTTCTATTCGCCGGCCCTCCCACATTGACTGCTGCGACCCTGCTCGGTCACTCGCCAGACCCGGCACTGCGTCCGCAGTGTTGCTCAACAGAGCAAACGCATGCGCGCCCCCTGCGCAGCGAAACACATCATCGCACCGCGCGCCACAGCCTCCATCACTCCATGGGTCTCAACCATCTCCCGCAGCGCCGCCAGCCGCTCGGCAAGTGGCGCCCCCTCGCCTTCCGCTTCGGCGGGGCCGCCGCACGGCGCGGCGGCGCCGCCGCGGCCGCTCGCCGGAGTGCAGAGGCGCTCGTGCATCGCCGCCGCCGTCGCCTCGCCCCCTGGCTCCTCCCACGGCTGGTGCTGTTGCTGCTGGTGCGGCGGCCCGGCCGGCCGCCGCTCGGCCGTGCAGGCTGGCTGCAGGCTGCAGGCGTGCTGCAGCGCTTGCTGATCCGAAGCCTCTGCAGACACCTGCTGCATTTCGCACCTGTCCAGCGCCAGCAGCGGCGATGGCTGCTGCTGCGGCTGCTGCTGCTGCGGCTGCTGCGGCGGCGGCAGCGGCTGCTCGCAAGACAGCTGGATCGGTGCCAGCAGGTTGGCGCCCACCTGCTGCGCCACCAACGCAGCGCCCGGCGCCGGCGCCGCCAACGGAAGCAGCGGCACCGCAGGCACCGCAGGCAGCAGCTGCGCCGGCGCCAGCGCAGCCGGCCACGCGAGCGGCCCGCCCAGCAGCGCCGAGTGCAGCGTCGCGACCTGCGCCTGCAGCGCGGCGTTGCGCTCGCGCATGCCCTCCAGGGAAGCTTCAATGGTGGACTGCCGCTCCTTGCGCCGCTGCCTGCGGGCGCGGCGCGGCGCGGCGCGGCGCGGCGTGGGGCGGTGGGGGGGGGGGGGCAGATGGATGGATCATGGGCAGGCTAGGGCCGAGGGAACCAGGGCTGGGGCCAGGGGGCGTCTGCACGGCGCAGTGAGCTGCACCTGTAGCGCTGCTGCGCCGCCTTATTCAGGTCTTGTTGGCGCTTGAGCTTGGCCTCAGAGTCGATGGGATCCAGATGGCAGTCGGTCCTGGCGGGGCGCTCGGGTGACGCCGCGCCGTCACCGCCGCGGGCGCGCTTGCGGCCGCGCGGCCTGCGGCCGCGGGCGCTGTCGCCAGAGGACGAGCCTGGCTGCTGCGCGCTTGGCGGGGAGGCGCAGGCGGCGCCTCCTGCGCCGGCAGCGGCCGCGGGCGCGGCCGCGGCGAGCGGCGCATGGTGGGGGGCCGCGTGCCGTCCCATAGCAGCGACGGGCGCGTTCTGCCGCTGCATCGCGCGCAACGCTCGGGTAACTCGCCTGCCAACAATGCAGCGGCGGCAGCAGGGTGGGTTCAAGTGCATACGCCAACCAGTGGATACGCCAGGAACGGGCTGATTTGGGCAAAAGCCACGCAGAGGCATCAACGCACACCCCAATGACATTCCTAGTGACACAACAAGCCCGCCCAGAGCCCTGGAGGGCTAGTAATAGAACTTTTGGATCCGTTCCTCGCACCTATTTTTTGCGTGGTACCGGGCCTAGGGGACGTTGGTGGGCTTCAGACCTTGCCCAGGGGTTGCGGCCCGTCGAGGCAGGCACCAACAATAGTTATAGAGCTAAACTTTCTGCATTGTGATGGGTGATGTTGGGCAGACGCGCAGATCTGGATGCTGATCACGAAACACGCGCTGCGCACGCATGACGTCTACAAACGTACGAAGAATAATCGTAGGCGTCATGTGGCGTCGCCCATTTCGTGGGCTGGTGGGTGCCTGGCGCACGCATTCGTCACCGTCACGTACAGGAGCTGGATGGGCGGCATGTGACGGCGATTCATCGTGCTGTTTGATGTCAGTGCTGCCTTGTTGTCAGCCCACTGTACCAGCCGACCAGCTAATTCATGCACAACATCATCAACAGGCTGCTGATGTTGCTGCGCCACCTCAACGTCTCGCAGCGCGATGGCGTCCCACTGCGACACAGCGGCTGCAAGGGATGCCATGCTCTAGCGCCAAGCCCACTGCCCAGCCTGCTAAAGCTGCCGCCGCCTCTGTGACTGATGCCACTGGTCGCCGAGGCCGCGCAGGCGATTTGGGATGCCAACGTATTGTCCCCGCTCTCGGTGGCGGCGCTCGGCAAAAGGAGCGCCTGGCTCATCGTCGCGGCCCAGTCGAGAGGGCTGGCTGGAGTAACGGCCACTAGCAGCAGAACCATCATGTTCGACGCCAACAAGGCCAGATTCTGGCCTCTTAGCGTGAAAGGGGGTGCAGGTGGGAACTACTGCAGCGAGTATGGGTGCGGTGCCACGCTGCCCGCCTTCCGCCCGGCTTCCAAAGAACGCGCGGACCGCCCAGCAGCAGCCGCAGCAAGGATGGGCGCATTGCGCCCGCCTGTTCATATTCAAGCCAAAGTTTGCACAAGCATGCCGTTTTCCATCATGCGGGGCCGCAGAACAGCCCGCGCCTTGCGCCCAGCAGTGTGGCTTAGGCAGAAATACAGGGGCATTGATGTTGGAGGCCAAACACCAGGGGCTGCCCAATGATACCGGTAGTGGAATGGCCTTTGCTCTCTCGCCCGCCGCCCAACAGCCCTGTAACTATAACCATCTGTTCAGGGGTGTTTGTTGGGCTGCCGTTACTTGCTTTTGGCGTGGGTTCAGACGCCAGACCTTCGGCGGCGGCTGCCAGCCGCCAGACTCAAGCGCAGACCCATCATTTATCAACCCCGGCAGGCGCCTGCCCCGACCTGATGCAATCCCCCTGCTTGTGATCAGAGACAACCATGCCAAAGTGGGCGATTTTGCAGGTTTTCAAACACACGTGTGTGGAACCTGTTGGATTCAGAACCAAAACAGTGTTGTGCTATGCCAGCAGGTGAGGCTTGGCAAAGGCGGTTCCACGGCTTGCCGACGTGCCAACCTCGAGCTAAAACGTTTTATAAATTACACGAAACCGTCCCAGTCGTTTCCAAACCAGCAGCGGGCAGTTTTTGGTCTTGGGGGCTGACTTGTTCTAGTTGTTGTCGCAGTAAGACCTTTGCATATGGCAGCTAGTTATGATCCTTCTATGTGCAATGTCTTCCAGAGTTTCATAATCTAGAGAAATTCGTTAGGGGGTGACCCCATCCACACGCCCTGAGTCATCACGCCCGTGGCCGTGGCGATGGTAAGAGGCAGGCCGGCAGCATTGGACGCCCGGCGGCCTTGTGCACGCACCGATGGCCCTTATGCGGTGTCAGACGTGTATAATTTGTATAGGAGTCACACATATATGGCTCCACAAGCTCTGTATGACCTGCACACAGACAGGACTGTTTGCAGCCGCTACCGGCCTCGTCGGAGAGTCGTCTCGTGGGAGGGGCTTTGACCAACCCCTCATGTGATGTCCCCAACCCATACTTTCCCAGGTCCCTAAACATTTGGATTTGGCAGTAGACACACGCAAAATCTGATTACATACCACAACATCATACCATTCGCGAAACGCATCGCACACGCTTGCCGTGTGCACGGTTCAGGCTCGGCACACGCTCGGCGCCCGTTATCTGGATAGTCGACCGAGGATCGCTGATTATAAATTCAAACGTACCCATTTGCCCGCCGGCAGCCTTGACACCTGCAGGTGGGTGGGCATGATGTTGCTCTTTGGTCGCACTCCTCTGGCCGCCGCCCCGCAATCGACCCAGCCTGGCCCTTCCGCGGCAGCAGCAGCCCGGCCATCCGCTTGCTCATTGGTCAGCTTGCAAATGAGCTTGCTTGGCGGGCAAAGCGGGCCACCGGCGCCGTGATGCTGCGGGGACATGTCAGCGGGAATGTACCGGCGGCATCCTGTTCGCCCACGCCAGGCGTGCGCACAGCTGAAGCCTCACGTTTTCCCGCCCCTCACTCTCCTCGCAGGTGCACCCCACGATCGACGATCCACTGGGTCTGGTGGCACTTATGGCTTCCGAGATGCTCTTCTCACTTGAGGAGGTCAGCATGACGGCAGTTGGCCCAAGGCGGCAGCTGCGCTCACACGGGCAGGCAGCTGCGGTGACTGCTACCTCGCAGGGCGCACCGCTGCGTCCTGTGACCGCCCCGCGGCCCGCCCGCATGACACACGTACGCGCGTGCGCCGCGTGCGCCGCGCGACGGTGGCCCCACCTGACCCAGCACACAATCGCCCTTCTTCTCGCCCTCGTGTAGGTGGCGCAGACTACATCAGCCGACCAGTGGCAAGGCCGCGATCTGGCAATTGAGGCGACGATCATCGACATTAAGGAGGCAATCGAGGACCCCGCCGCCCCGCCCGCCGGCCGCCGCGCGCTGCGCGCGCTGAGGCGGGCTGTGGACGAGCTGCTCCCGCCGCGGCAGCAGCAGCAGCCGCAGCAGCCGCAGCTCGGGGACGGACTGGATGAGCTGGCAGAGGATCTGGCTGAGCTCTTGGAAGGCGCAGGGGCGCGTGTGGCAGTCCGCTCTCCCAGCCAGCATGACCGATCTTCCGCGGCGGCCGGCGGCGCGGCGGCGGCTGCGGACGCGGCCGCAGCGGCGGCGCTGCCGCCGGCGGCGCGGGTGGGCCGGGGCGTGGGCAAGCAGTCGTTTGTGCTGCGCGGGCGCTTCATTGTCGTGAAGGGCGACAGCAGCGGCGACGCAGAGGGTGAGTTGCCGCGAGCCTGCGGGGCGCGCTGCTCGGGCAACCACCAGTAGTGCGCATGGGCGGGGGACATTGGTGCATGAGCTGCAGCTGCCGTGGCGATCTTTGCACCCCTGCTGGCTGCTGACCCGGGCGCACTGTGCACCCCCAAACAACCCTAAAATCTGCAGGCTTCATCATCGACCCCTGCTTCAAGGACGTCTTCACCATCGCGCACGCAACCCGCGGCTACGCCCGCATCGTGGAGGCCCTGCCGGAGGTTTTTGTGGGGGAGGCGTCCTCTCTGAGGCGGCTGGTGGCCCTGCTCACTGCACAGGCCGAGCGGTCATACGCAGCACAGGTGAGGCCCTGTTGAGCGCTGTGCATAAGTCGCAGGTTTTGGGTTCATCGTTGCATGGCATGCGCACAACCCGGCGATATGGTCCGCCATGCACGCGGCCGCGCCAGCGACAGTGCTCCTCTCGTCATGGTGACATCATCCATGACTCACATGCACCCCTCAACTTCCGTTCCCTACCCGAAGGGCATGACGACGCCCCCGTGGCGAAGCTACACGGCCATGACCGCCCGTTGGTTCCCGCCGAAGTTCACGGACACCCCGGTGACGCCGCCGGCGTCACCCCTGGCGCGCCTCAACAGTGAGGATGCGGCGCGCATGGCGCTCGCCGCCGCGCGCGAGGCTGCAGAGGGCGCCATGGCGCGCCTGCGCCTGGCCGGCGCGGCGCACGCGGCGGCGGTGCAGCAGCAGCAGCAGCCGCTGCGCCAACAGGCACCCGCGCGCGTCGTCCACGGCTTCCATGTCGGCGCCGCCGCCGGGGCGCCGCCGCGCATGACGGCGGCCGCGATGTGACCGCTTGTTCTGCAGCGGCGCGCCCCGCCGCCGTGCTGCGAGCGCACGGCACGTGCAGCCGCCGCGCAGGAGGCCAGTGCGACAGGGAACCGGAAACAGAAGACGACCTTGAGAGCCCAGCTCCCCGCTGTTTAGGTTAGAGCCGGTTTTGGCAACCTCAACCAAACTTGTTGCACAGGCCGCCCGGCCCCCTCACTTCATCATGCAGCGTCTGTACGCCCACACTCCGCCCCGTCATCCTCTTTACATCCCGTTGGCGCCCGCCCTCCTGCTAGACCAACGATATGACCAACAGTGCTGCTTGCTGCGCGCGCCCACAAAACCTCCTCTGAGAGAGAAAGGTGATTTTGAAGCAGAATGCGTGCCCCCCCTTGCTTTCCTCGCTCCCTACTTGCTACGCGGCTTGCTGCCCATTGCAGCGCTCAGGATGCGCCCGCACAGCCAGCCCAAAACAGCCTTTCATGGCACCTGGTATAGTGTAAGCAGTCCTTGCATATTTGGGGTCAATCGTACCAGGGGCATGCAAGGTAGCCCAGTCCAGCTGAATGTTGTGTGGTCATACTCTGTGCGTAAAGGTCAGCAAATGCAGGTCAAAGCAATACGGCAGCACATCCCTTTGTTCGGCAGTCGGCGCCCGAGGCTCCAGGAGGGGAGAGATACCTGGCCTGATAGACCGGGCTCTGTTCTTTCACCCACAGGGCAGGACAGGGCAGGCCAACGCACAATGCTATGTCCGACCCAGCAAGACCAGCCTAGCGCATGGCCCTGCTGGGACTGATGGCATGCGAGCCCTGACATATAAAATAGGTCAAGGCTGTCCCTGAGATTAGGTGATTTAGCGGCAACTGTACCCGCTGCAGGGTGCGGCAGGTACAGGCTGGCGCAAGCCGTGGCAATGGTAGCAGCTGCAGCCACGTGAGCGAGAGCGGCGCAGGGGTAGCCCGGATCCGGTTGTCAGGCAGAGCTCTGTCGTGGCATAGGCAAAGGCAAGGCCAGAACAGATGGAATCATACTGACAGGCTTCCTCAGGTCTCAGTTGCTGCCATTGCCTGCGTATCTGCGGAGATTGCGCTTTGCACGTGCTGCAGCAGCATCTGCACCCCAGCCAGCGAGCTGCTGCACTGGCTTCTGTGGCAACTCCCGCCCGATTGTTCACGACTAGAACCGTAGACATCCTCATGCCTGTTATGATGCACCTTGAGGTACGAGCCACCATGCGTTCTGCAGAACATCTGTCGTTGACACTGGCAGAGCGGGTCTGTGCTCACAGCCGCCTACTCGGAAGGATTCTTTCTTAAGGTATGTGGGAGTAAATTAGTGAGTTGTACGTATCGCGCTGCTAAGGGCCCTCTTCACACGGCCTTCATCGCCCTTACACGAGGGGGATGACTGCACGCGGCAAGGGATAGAATTCAAACCCACAACGGCGTCCCGGTCTCCGTCGCCCCGCAATCTCTCCATTTCTTGGCCGGCATATTTCACGTTGTAAAGATGGAAACAATCACCACGATGGTGAGCACCCTAGCGCGACCCGTGCCGCTCAGCGCCGATGCCCTGCACAACGGCCCCAGTGCCATTGCATGATGCCCGCCGTCCCCGGCGCCAGCGCCCGCCCGCCCCCTTTCAGACGCTGCCCCGTGCTCAAATTCCACTCAAATCATTCATTAACAGGATGAAGACCTTCATGCGGCGGCACTGCTGTGCGAGGCTGCCTACCGCACCCACTTTCAAACGCACGAGCTGCTCAAGCACGTCGACTCAGTCAGGGCGCTGCTGTCCCAGGCGGCCATCGGAGAGCTTTCCGTCCACTCTGCAGGAGACCAAAAGTGAGTGTGAATTCGCTCAGCTGCCGATGAATCCCCAGCTGGACAGCAGAATGCAAGGGATTTGACAGGGGCGGGCAGCCCGCGAGGCGCCAGGGCCGACGCCACGGGCGTGGAGCTATGGGGAGTGACCAGGCCGCAGCAACCCTGAATGATCCGTGATTCAATTATCAACATCCAGCAATAACTCCCCTTGGGCAGGTACGTCGTGAGCCAAGGGCCCGGCGCGCTGTACGTAGCTTTTCAAGGGACCAGCCAGCTGGGGGACTGGCTCTCAAACCTGAGCGTGCGGCATGCGCCCCTGTGGCGCCGAGCGGCACAGGGCGAGCGCGCGCGGCAGGTGAGGGCCGGTTCTCCGAGCTTGTATGTACGGCACCGCCCGAGCGGCAGCATGTGCGGAACCGGCCTGCAGCTGGGCCCCTCCGCACGGCCGTTGCTCTCGCATCTGCGCCGGGTGCCGCCGCCAATCGAGTCCCACCGCGTCAGCCAACGTTTGCACCCTGCCTGCTCCCCCCTCGCCCCGCCTCTGCAGCACCCCTCCGCGCACGGCGGGTTCCGGCGGCGATCCATGGCGCTGCCGCTGCTGGAGTTGCGCGACGCGGCGCGCGCGGCGGGCAAGCGGCTTGTGCTCTGCGGCCACTCGTTGGGCGGCGCGGTCGCGGCCCTCGGCACAATCACCCTGCTTCGGGAGAGCACAGCCGACACTGCCGGCGCTGCCGGCGGCGGCGGCGGCGGCGGCGGGGACAGCAGCGGCGGCCCCGGCGGCGAGCGGGGGGCGGAGGTCAGGTGCATAAGCTTTGCCGCGCCGCCGTGCGCCAACGATGCGCTCGCAGCCGAGGTCGCCGCGGCGGGGTGGGACCGGCACATTCAGAACTACGTGCTGCCAGGTGGGCGCCGAAGCTTCAGCTGCGAATCGCGCTGGCAGCTATCATGTCCCGAGTGATGGCCAGCCAGCGCCGCCGCGCCTCTGAAGTGACGGGGCCGTCTCCGCAGTGCCTCTGGGCGTACGCGCTTTCGTGCCGACTGGGCGCACGCGCTTTCGCCTGCTGCGCCGTGCTCGTCAATCACGCCTCTGCTCTCTCTCGGCACCGCCCCTTTTGCACTCCCCTGCAGAGGACCCGGTGGTGCCTGTGGTGAACCGCCTGCTGCGCGCCAATGCAGTCGCAGCGACAGAGCGCTTCTTCTCCGCCCCCGCCGTCTCGAGCAGCAGCAGCGACGCCGCCAGCAGCATTGGCGCTGGCGCCGGCGCCGGCGGCCGCAGCAGTGCGGACGCGGCGCCCCAGCGCGAGCCCGACGCGCCTCGCGGCGCGCGGGCGGCGGCCGCAACGGCGGCGGCGGCCGAGGAAGCTTCCAAGCTGCTGCTGCCGGTGCAGATGCTGGTCCTTGATCAGGCAGAGGCGGCAGCTGCGGCATGGCTGCGGGAAGAGAACGGCGAGGACGAATCAGACACCGCCGTCCCCCACCCGCACCCGCAGCCGGTACCGCACTCCAACCCAGCGATTGCAGCGGCCACAGTGGCGGCGGCGGCGGCGGCTGCCGCAGCGGCGCAAGGCCGGCGGCACGCGCACTCTTTGCAGACCGGTGGGGCACAGCTGACCGTCGGCCGCCGCTTTTATGCATGGCCAGGCCAGCAGCAGCAGCCGCAACAGCAGCGTCAGTTCACGCATCAGGCGGCCCAGCTGGCAAGCAGCCAACACCAGCAGCAGCAGCAGCCGCCGCAGCAGTGGGGGCAGCAGCAGCTAAGCATGGACGCGAAGTGGGCAGGCCTGGTGCTGCACCCACGACTGCAAGGCGCCCTCCTGCAGCCCTCCGCGGCGGCGCTGTCGCTGCAAGCCCGCCTCGCCGCCGGCGGCCCCGCGGCCGCGGTCCGCGTGGCCCGCATCTGGGCGCAGCGCGCGCTCTCGGGCAGCCTCCGCAGCGGCCTGCGCGCGCTTGCGCTCGCCGCGCCGCGCCTCCTACCCTCGTTCGCGCGCGGCGGCGCGCCGGGGCCCGTCCTCGGGCGCGTGCTGCCCGCGGCCCTCGGGCTGGAGATCTTTGGGTCGGCACTCCTCGCGCTCGCGGTTCCTCGGACGTGCGCGCTCGGGTCCCAGTGGGTGCTCTCGCACGATGGGCTGCGGCAGGCCGACAGGCCTCTGGCCCTGTATCCGCGGCGGCCGCAGTCCCTGGGGCTGCGGGAACTGGGGGGCCTATTCCCGGGCCACCGCATGATCTCGTACCGCAACCGGATCGCGCACCTCGCAGCAGCGACTGCAGGCGCCGCCGCGGCCGCGCGGTGACGCCGCGAGCCGCGCGGCGGCCGCGCGCGGGCGCGGGGCTTTGCCTCTCTGTACTGCGGTGCTGGTCAGGGGCTCTCGACCAGTTTGCTGGGACCGGGGCCGGCGGCACCGCATGTGTCTGTGTATGTAGACTATCCCGCGCCCCAGCATTATCGCTGCCGGCGCCAATCAACCCACAAGCTAGCGGGGCCCGACGCCCCGCGGCAGCACAGTAGGTTGCAGATTTTTTGTTGTACATCACGGGCAGCAGTTCCCTTGCTGCTGCTGTGCCAGGCCGGCGTTTGCGCTGGCGGGCCGCCGGGCGGGGCCACGCTGGGCTGTTTGCACATGCACGGCTCACCCCCATGCATGTGCGGCTTGCTGCCGGCCGGCATGCCGCCGGTGTAGCACCTGCCTGAGTGGCCTTCACATGTCATGTCACTGTCACTGAGCGAAGAGCATTCTGGCGCGTCATTGCGCCAGCTGCACGCACGCCAGCGGCCGCAATTAGGTGCCGCATTGCATGCCGACTGTCGTTAGAGTTTAGTGGTGAAGTGCTGCTGGATGCACAGGATGCTGCGGTGACCCCAAACCAGGCCAGCCGCTTGCCTCCTGACCTTTCCACCCAGCGCCACTGTCACGAGGGGCGAGAGCACACTCACCGCCGCCCGCCGCGCAAGCGGCTGCTGTGGCCCGGGGCTCACGACGCGGTGCACGCACGCATGTATGGGCCTTCGCCGTGTGGCCGTCAACGGCAAACACATATACTCTCTTTTCTCTGCCAGGAGCCATGGATCCTGCTGCAGCTGGGCCAGATGGCCAGCTACACACCCCCAACCGCATCCATCGGTACGCGGCTTATCAAGCACTGTGCGGCGCCTGCTCTCCGACGCCCCATCCAGCGCCCCTCTGAAAGTGCAGACGGCGAGCCCGCCCGTCCCCACTACTCTCCCCTTGTTAGGGCCTTTCATGTGCTCTCGCATGAGAAGGCCGGGCTGGGTAGGCGGCCGTCCATTTTGGGCCGCCTGCCCCCAGCCCCACCCGCCGCAATCGCGCGGGCTCACCGCCGTCGCCACTTTGGGCTGGCGTTTTCTTTGCCGACGGCCCAGTTTTCACCCTGCGCAGAGCGTGCCGCACCCCGCGCACACTCACTTACTGCTGGTTAATCCTGATGTGTTAGCATCTGTGTATTCAACTATGTGCTGTTAACCGTGGGTTGCCGGCCGTTTGACTGGACGGCGCCACGCGCGTGCCGCTTTGCCAGAGCGACTGAATGTGCGACGCCCAACGCAACAGTGTGAGCAGGGCAAGTTTTCTGACCTTATTCAGAGCTTGCCTTATGTAGCTGACCATTGGCGGTTGTAAAGCAATTGCCATCTGTGATCAAGTCAGTGGCATCAGCTATCATAGTAGAACACCATGAGATGTTGTCAGCAGGGTTTGGGCGGGCCCTCACAATCAGCTGTATCTAACTGTAGCGCCGCCATGCGCTGGTGAGGGCCCAACAGTGAATCGATCGGTACGCAAACGTCCATCATACCGCTGGGACCCCTGCAGGCATGAGGAACCTCATGTGACGGTGCAGCAGCAATCAAGTCGGGGTCGCCTCCCCTTGCTGGCTCGAGCATACCGTAATCAGGGCCGCCTGCAGCTGCAACCTTGGACTGACAATGGACACTGTCAATCGTCCGTCACTCATGAACGATTGGACAAGCCAAACTATTTTATCTGTCAATTCTTGCATATCAAAGCGATTTCTCATCCCAAAGCTCACAATCGCAGTGGCGAAACTCTTCGAAATTGTCAGTGTTGGATGTCGACATTTCTTCGGTAGAAAACATCGCAGAGAACAATGCGATCCTCCAACAGCAGTCCTGCCCTGCTTGCGCCAGGCCTGCTGATAGAAGGGGCCGTCCCTCGGCGTGCCAGAAGGCGCTGGCGACGAGCGGCAGCGGGCATCGCTTGCGGCGCTGTGCTGTGCCTCTGGGCACTGGTCAGCTTCCGGCAGCAGGCTGGTGCGGTGCATGGG